AGGATTGTGGTTCGAAACCAGCCTGAGCAGGAAAATCTGTGAGACTCTGCTCTCCAATGAACCAGGATGAGGCTGTGGCTCAAGGGGTAGAGCACCAGCCTTGAGTGAAAAAGCAAAGAGACAGTGCCCAGGCCCTGGCAGTGTTAGAACGTTTGTGGCCCCTTCAGCTGGCAGATTTGAAAAACACCCTTCCAGACCTGTTCTGAGCCACTGGAGACTCAGTGTTCCCTTTGACCCCCTTCCCACAACCTCCTCTCCCTAAGGTGCTAGGGTGACTTGAGAATGAAGTTTTTAGGCTTGGGATCGGCCAAGCCCTTGGCAGCCTAATACAGGCGGAGCGTTGCTGCCACCTCGTGGTTAAAGTAGGAATAGACAGGCGTCTGCTTAGGAGTGGGCAGAAAGCGCCACCTGGTGACCAGGACCGCTCCCTGCGCCCTCGACAACACATTGGCCAGTTTTTGCAAGAATCCCAGTTCCAGTTCTTGAGATAGTCCAACTCCATGTGCCTCAGTCTCCTTACTTGTAGAATGGAGCAAGGCAAGCATGGATGGGAGAGGTGGATTAGGCAATGCCCCTGTATGCCATGATCACTAAGTGTCCCCACTCAGCCTGGCACACCAGGCGACAGGCCAGGGGTCCTTAAGCCCCCACACTAGGGAACTCTCACTTCTTTTGTTTTGTGTCAGTCCTGGGATTTGAATTCAGTGCCTGAGCTGGTTTTTGTTTGTTTGACTGCTACCTGAGCTATTTTGCTCAAGGCCAGAGTTCTACCCCTTGAGCCACAGCCCCATTTCCAGCTTTTCAGTGATTGATTGGAGATAAGAGTCTCACAGACTTACCTGCCTGGGCTGGATCTGAACTGTGATCCCCAGATCTCCTGAAAATCTAGGATGACAGGCATGAATCATCAGTGCCCACTAGGACTCTTTAATTATTACCTCTACCTCCTTCCCCTGCCGCAAGCCTTAAGACCTTCCCTGTGTCCAGCTCTGAGATACCACTCCCCCCCCCCCCCGACATTTTAGCAAGCAGAAGACTGAGGGATGGGTCCCATCATTGATCTTAGTCTCCCCAGGAAGGTTAAGGGCAGATGAGGGATAGTGAAGGAGCTGGTTTCAAGTCTCCCAACCATGAGCTTTCAGCTGGCTCACCCCTGAAAATAAAACTGGCAAAATGAAGCCTGTCATCCTAGCTCAGGAGGCTGAGATCTGAGGATCATGGTTCAAAGCTAGCGTGGGCAGGAAAGTCTGTGAGACTCTTCAAATCACCAAATCGAAACACACACACGTCTGAAGTGGAGCTCTGGCTTGAGTAATAGAGTGCTAACCTTGAGGGGGAAAAAAAAAGCTCAGGGACAACACCCAGGCCCTGAGTTCAAGTCCCAGGACTGGCACGAAACAAAACAACTCAAAAACCAACCTGGCAAAATGGACCCAGCTTGAAAGCAGACAAAGTACTGAAGGACCTTCCCTGTCTGACAGCCTGACTATCTGGGATCCCTTCCACCCTGTGGGGGCCGCCACGCCACTGTTGGAGACCACAGAGAAGGGAGGCTTGTCCTGTCTGGCTAGAGCTGGTTGACTCACACCTTTGGATCTCATCTTGTCTCTGGAGGCCCCAGGAGGGATTCTCAGCCTTGTGAATCTCCAAGGTCTTCCCCATTCGGGGAGCCGTGTGTACCCACAACCTCTCACCCATACCTTTGGGAAAGATTGCACATGCATAGGTGTGCACAGGCCCCCAATGCGCGCATACGCACACCCACGCGCACACGCCGCGTCACGCATGCGCACACACACCCTTCCCCTGTGGATGGACTCCTGCCTTTTCTGAGCCTTGGGGGGGTTGGGGGCCGTGACTGGGGCCAGGCCGGCCGATCCCAGGTGGGGCCTCGGGGCTGGGCTTCGGGCCTTCAGGTGGTGATTTCGGTCAGTGCCTGGGTCACTACCATCTGGAAGGAAACGGCTGGCGGAGGCTGTGCTGCGGGGATTCGGGTCCCTGAGAGCCAGGAGCTTGCAGCCCGGCCCCCACGCCCCTCTGCGAGCACTTGCGCCTTATGGGGGTGGCCCGGGACACTGCTGATGGTTTTGGGCCCCCCCCCCGCAGGCTGCTCCGCCCCCCCCCGTGCCCCCCAGCTGAGCGGATGACGTGGGACAGGTCCCCTCGGGCGCAGCCACGGCGGGGACAGTGTGCTGTGTGTGTGTTTCTTTCCTTTGGCTTTTCTGCATCAGGGATTCTGCGTCGTTCATCCCCCGCCCGAGGCTAGGGGCGGCTCGCGGTGGGTCCAGCCTTCCTAGCGATGCCAAGGCCTGGGGACGCCCGCCTCCCTGCTTTCTGGGGGCTCCCTGAGCCCCTGGGGTCCTGACCGCAGCCTCTTCTCCTCCCAGATGCACGCCAGGCCCCCCAGGACGCTTGGTTCCGACGGCAGAAGGTTCCAGAGGCCACAGCCGAGACAGAAAGGGATGTGGAGCATTCAGGCCTGCGGGAGGCCGGCTGGATTCCAGCAGCGCCTTCGCCCCGGGCTCCAGCGCGGGCTCCTGGACGTCCAGACGCAACTCCTAGGCCGGTGGGAAGCGGCTAAAAGCAGCCTGGCCAGTGGCTCCGGCCTATAATCCTACTACTACTCAGGAGGCTGAGGATCATGGTTCGAAGCCAGCCCCGGCAGGAAAGTCTCCGTGAGACTCTTATCTCCAATAAACCACTCAAAAACTGAAGTGGCGCTGTGGCTCAAGTGGTAGAGCGCTAGCCTTGAGCACCAAGCAGCTCAGGGACAGCGCCCACGCCCAGAGTTCAAGCCCCTAAAGTTGCAAAAAAATTAAAACAACAATAACAACAAACCAAGCTAAGGGCTGGGAAGGTGGCTCAGTGGTACAGCGCTTTCCTACATGCATGAGGCCCTGCGTTTGATTCCTCAGCACCACGTAAACAGAAAAAAACAGAAGTGGCGCTGTGGCTCAAGTGGTAGAGCACTAGCCATGAGCTGAGGCCCAGAGTTCAGGCCCCACGACTGACAAGACAAACAAGCTAAAAGCAATCTCCTGGCATGGCTGAAGTGGAGACCCACACACCAACTCAGAAGAAAAGATAGGTTCCCTGGGCAGGACCTACCTCCTCTGCCTCCCTGCCCCCCAACCCAGGGCTCTTCTTAAAAATAAAAGTCAACAGTCACATTCAACACTGTAAATAAATCCCAACAGACAGCTGCCCTGAGACATTCTCAGAGTCACCCTGGCTTTTGACAAATTCCAGATTTTTTTTTGGTACCAATACAAGGGCTTGAACGCAGGGCTCCAGCACTAGGTTTTTCTCAAGGCAAATGCTCTACCACTTGAGCCACAGCTCCACTTCTGGCTTTGTGGAGAGGGAGGGGCTAATTGGAGATAAGAGTCGCAAGTATTTCCCTGCCTGGGTTGGCTTTGAACCAGGATCCTCAGAGCTCAACCGCCTGAAGAGCTGGGAGGATAGGTGTGAGCCATCAGTACCTGGTTCCAAAACCATTTTTGATTCAAAACTTTGCTTTTTGCCTCTTCTTCTCCCACAGCTGCTTTATACTGGGGGTCCAGGAAGGCCTGAGGTCAAGTGAATGGGGGGCCAGAAGTCATGACCAGGGAGGGTCTGCAGATGATAGTAAAAAATGTGCTGAAAGCCGGGCACCAGTGGCTCCTGCCCTGTCATCCTAGCTACTCAGGAGTCTGGGATCTGAAGATGTTGGTTCAAAGCCACCTCAGGCAGAAAAGTCTGCAAGACTCTTATCTTCAACAAACTATTAAAAAAGCCTGAAGTGGAGCTGTGGCTCAAGTGGTAGAGTGCTAACCTTGAGTGAAAGAAGCTCATGAATAGTACCCAGGCCCTCAGTTTAAGTCTCCAAGACCAGCACACACACACACACACACACACACACACACACACACACACACACACACACACAGTGCTTAACCTGTGGACCCCAACTTATTTGACAGTTTGCAGAGAGCTTGCTGAGCACTCCCCCTCCCCCAAAGGGCCCACTACAAGGAAGGATGGACTTCTGTGGGTCTCTGTGGGGACAATTTTGTGTCTTCGCATGCCGCTCCTGTCTTGGGCTTCCCTGTGAGCAGGTGCCTGGTTCAGACAATCCTGGGAAAGGTGGAAGAAATGGCAGGAATCACCCAGCACCGAGTATAGACACCCATTGCTCTGAAATCCATGTGCTTTATTCCCAGCCTCCCCCAGGTCATAGAAAAGCAGCAAACCTCGGGGTTCGGTAGAAGGCAATGGCTAAGGAATGACACGACATCCCTAACCGCGGGGGCCTCAAACTTCCCTGGTCGTCATAGCTGAGCTCCCGCTGTGGGGGAAAGGGCATCCATCCCAGCCCTCAGCATCTCCCTCAGCCAAGGGAGTCTGTGACAAGGGACTCTGTCCCCCATCTGCACCCTTACAGCCCGGTTGCTTTGAGAATACCTCAGCTCTGGGATGAGCTACATTGAAGAAAGTAAGACCTGGGTGAGTGGGCGTGGCCCTCGACAGATAACCACGCCCCTGGCAACAGGCCCTGCCTTTGGCACTTGGCTCCGCCCCTAGCAGATAGCCTTGTCCCTGGCAACAGGTCCCACCCCTGTCAACTGGTCTTGCCCTAGCAGCTGTTATTTCCTGGCAACAGGACCATCTCCTAGCAACCGACTACTCCCACCTCGGCTAACCACGCCCACTCCTGGCAACAGCCCCTCCCGTCAGCTGGCTCCACCGCCAACCAACAGTTCTGCCTCCTGACAGCTGGCCCCGCCTCCGGCAGCTAGCCACACCCCTGACAACCTGGCCCTAGCCCAAAAGCGAAATCCTCTCTTGGTCATAAGCCCCACCCCAGAAGCTAGCCACGCCCCTGACAACCTGGCGCATCTACAGCAGCTAGCCTGAAACCTGGCAACAGGCCCCGCCCCCACACCACTGACCACGCCCCTGAATGGAACCACGCCCTCTGCAGATAGCCACGCCCCCAACAACGTGGCCCTGCCCTGACATCTAAGTCCTCTCCTGGCAGCAGGCCCCGCCCCTACAGCAGGCCCGCCCCTGCAGCAGGCCCCGCCTCCGGGCAGCAGGCCCCGCCCCTCAGTACAGGTCCGCGAAGGGCTTGGAGTAGTTAAACATCAGGTAGTCCATGTAGTAGAAGTCGTAGGTGCGCTGGCGCTGCAGGGCGGACAGCTGGGCAAAGTACCGGTGGGTGATCCTCGCCGTGGTCCGCGCCTCCTGCGCGTGCCGGTCCTTGAAGCGGGGGAAGGTGAGGTTCCGTGGGGCGTGGATGAGACTCAGGAAGAAGTTGGCGTCGTCCTCCATGCTCTCGAACTTGCCCACGAAGTCGTAGTCGATGAGGCAGGGGCTGCAGAGGCGGCTGACGTGGTCCCAGTGGATGTCCAGGCCCACGGGCCTGTGCACGTCGAGGAGATACTGGATGAACTCGGGGAACCGCACGCCGGAGCCGGTCCGCAGGGCCTCCCTGGAGGCGTTGGCCCGGTACCGCGCCACGATGGCCTTGCCGAAGACAGGGTGGTAGTAGCTGTTGGGGTGTTCGAACTTGTCGCGGAAGGCCGAGACCAGCCTCTCGAAGGGCTCGCGGACGAACAGCATCTTGGTGTAGGTGCTGAGGCGGTACAGGATGCCCTGGCGGTCGAAGGTGTCCAGGCGCTTGAGGGCGCTGCTGTAGTGCACCGTGTTGTGGTGCAGGTCGGCGGTGGACGAGGCCAGGCCGGCCAGCACCATCAGCACCCGCTTCCAGTTGGAGCAGCCTGCCTTGGGCACCTCGCAGTACAGCACGCGGTGCCGGTCCTCCACGAAGATGCGGGACACGTGGCGGGGCGTCACGGACCTGCGGCTGCTGCTGGCCCGGTACTTGGCGCAGGCCTCCCGCATCAGCCGCTTGCGGTCCTGCTGGCTGCGGTGCAGGGCCACCCAGTGGCTGTCCGCAGCGCGGGGACCCGGCCCCGCCGAGGTCTCCGAGGAGCGGTTGCTGGCCCTCCCGGCCAGGCCCGACGGCATTTTTTTGATGAGCAGCCGGCGCCGGCGCTGGCGGGGTCGCAGGGGGGCCCCAGGGTGGGGGTGTGGTGGAGGCTGATCGGGCATCTGTAAGCGGCGGTCCCCCGGGGACCGGCTGGACGTGTCCTGGGCGACCCTGTCGGTGTGTACGTTCAAGTCACCATCCTGGGAACTGCCGGGTGGCTGGAGATTCTGGAACAAGAAGGGGAAATGGTTAACTAGGAAGGAGTCTTTCCTTCCTTCCTTCTTTCCTTCCTTCCTTGTTTCTGTTCTTTTGTGTCAGTTGTGGGGCTTGAACTCAGGGCCTGGGCTCTGTCCTTGAGCTCCTTTTGCTCAAAGCTAGTGCTCTACCACTTTGAGCCACAGATCCACTTCCAGTTTTCTGGTGGTTCACTGCAGATGAGAGTCTCCCAGACTTTCCTGCCAAGGCTGGCTTTGAACCTCAATCCTCAGATCTCAGCCTCCTGAGTAGCTCGGATCACAGGCACTGCTCCCCCCCTCTTCCTTCCTCCCTCTTTCCCTGTAGAATTCAGTACCGGACACTTCCACTCATTGGTTAGTGTTCTACCAAATGAGCCATGCCTCCAACCCCTGGGCACATCCCTGAGCAGTTCAGCTCAAGGCGAGTGCTCTACCACTTGAGCCTTCACACCATTTCTGGTTTTCTGGTGATTCACTGCAGCTGAGAATCTCATGGACTTTCCTGCCCCGGATGGCTTTAGCCATGATCCTCAGATCTCAGCCACCTGAGTAGCTAGGATTATAGATGTGAGCCACTGGTGCCCAGCTTGCTGGTGACATTTTTATGTAAGTGAAGGGAGAAGGGGAGACAGGCTTGATTCTGCAAGGTGTGATCCCTCTAGTGTTACACCTGAAATGCAATTCACAACTTCTACCACAAGTCGGCGCTGCCTTTCTTCCTAGGAAACCCCGCCTCGCTTGGATGAGCGGTAGATGCTATTGGCCTTGAAAGGCTGGCTCAGATTTACTCCATCTATTAGCAACAGTCCAAAGGAGCCATCTAATAGGAAGGAGAAATTCATGGATCTGAAGCCCTGGGTGTTGTTCCCAAGGCTCCTGGGAAGGACTTGGTTCCATTTTTCTTTCCAAGAATAGATTCCCTGGGAGCTCCACATTGTCTTCCTGCCTTTCTCCAACTCCTCCTCCCCCTCCCTCTACTTCTCCCAGGCTGTGTGTGGTAGGAGTTATCTGAATCTGGAAACTTACACTGTGAAGCTGTAGTGGTCGGATGTGGAGTTTTAGTCCTGAAAAGCAAAGAGAGAACATTAGTCACAGAAATACCACATGGCCCCCATGGACCTGCTAACCCCAGGGTGCTCAGCTTAGAGAGAGCATGGAAGACAGATTGTGGGGAGGGGAGGGCTTGGTTTGGTGCTTAGAGCCACTCCATCCCCTACCTACATGGAAGATGTGGTATGGCTAGCTTCTGATGCTAGTTTCTCTCATCTGCCTTCCTGCTGTGTAACTTGAAGCCAACCTGGGCAAGAAAGTCTGTGAGACTTTAAAAGAATCACCAAAGCCGGGCGCTGGTGGCTCACGCCTGTAATCCTAGCTACTCAGGAGGCTGAGATCTGAGGATCGCGGTTCAAAGCCAGCCCGGGCAGGAGAGACCGTGAGACTCCTATCTCCAATAAACCACCAGAAAACCGGAAGTGGCGCTGTAGCTCAAGTGGTAGAGCGCTCGCCTTGAGTTGAAGAGCTGAAGGACAGCGCCCAAGCCCAGAGTTCAAGCCCCACGACCGACAAAAAAAAAGAATCACCAAAAAGCCAGAAGTGGGAGTGTGGCTCCAGTGGTAGAACCCCAAGCCTTGGGTGAAAAAGGCCCTGTGTGATTTTCATTCAAGCTCCAGTTTTACAGATTCAGCCAAGGTCTAGAATTGGCTTGGAGGCTGGCTGCTCAGTCTATGGGTGTGATGTCACATCTTTACTCATTAGCAAGTCGTGGTGAGAAGACTAAAGTCATCTCTGGGCTCAAAGGCTACATTCCCTGAGCTTTCTGGAACCTTCTTGAGGTCCCACGAGAGGTAGGAATAAAGGCAGAACTTGGGTACCCTGACTCTTCTGCTGATCTTTTCGGGCTGAAAACAGGAGTGAACCCTTGTTGAGAAAGAGCAGTATGCCTGCTATCCTGGCCATGCGTGCACGTGTGTGCGTGTGTGCATGTGCGTGTGAAAAAGATCTTTTGGTCTCTTCCAAAGAGACTGCAGGCAATCCCCACAGGACTTGAGTGAATAGCAGGTACCTGGCCTTGGATTAAAGCCCCTCCACGTGTCCGCCTCTCCCCCAGAGCCTGTGTCCCTCTTCTCCAGTGACACCCTCATCCTCCCTGCCCCCCCCAGCCCATCTTCTCTGGGTCTCTCTCTGTTTCCAGAGCTCCTTTCTCTCCAGTGGGTGGGGAGCTCTCTCCCGCAGCCGGTGATGACAGATCTCTTCACTATAAGGGACCCGCCATAGCCACTCTGTTTTCCTCCACGCCACCGGGTTTCCTTAATTATTTTCTTCTCCTGGTGGCAGCTGGCTTTGCTAAATCACCTCTCCATCTCAGAGTCTCAGATGTGGGAATTTATTCCCCTTGTCAACCTGTCAACCTGTCAAGGTGTGATGGCGCTTATTTATACTCCTTTTCTGGAGCAAATGAGTCATACAAGATTTGGTCGAGAGTAGGACTGAGGTGCCGCATTCAGACACCACGCTGCCAGTCTGTGAGGTCAGGTGAGCTAGGTGTCATCAAGGCTATGCCCCGCCCCCTCATCCACTTTTATGGATAGGATTGGACAGGAGGGCACTACCTTCTTCTGTACCTTCAGGTTGTGAGCCTAAGGGAGTTCCCATGGTTACCCATGCTGAGTATATGTCCATCAAGGCTATGTCCCGCCCCTCCTCCCCCCCACCCCCCCAGCCACTTTTGTGGACTGGATTGGACAGGAGGGCATTCGTCTCCAGGCTCTGAGTCTGAGGGAGTTCCCATGGCTACCCAAGCCTAAGTATGTGTCCATCAAGGCTGAGCTCCCACCCCTTGTCCATTTCTCTTGACAGGATTGGACAGGAGGGCACTGTTTTCTTCTCAGTACTTCCAAGTACTGAGCCTGAAGGAGTTCCCAGGGCTACCCGCTCTGAGGCTGGCAGGAAACTTCCTGCTAGACAGAGCCTGGTGCTGGGTGAATCTCCTCATTCCCTGCCCACGTTTTTCCACACCACCATCCTGGCTGTAATTACTCTCTTAGGAAAAGACAGTGCCTTGTGGACAATAGCCTGTCTCAGAAACCCTTAAACTCCAAAAACAGCTCATTTCTCTCACATGCAATCCTAGCTACTCAGGAGGCTGAGATCTGAGGATCATGGTTGGAAGTCAGCCTGGACAGCCAAATCCACTGAGACTCTTACTTCTACTGAACCAGCAAAAAGCAAAAGGCCAGAGGTGGAAGTATATATAGCTCAAGTGGTAGAGCACCAGCCTTGAATGAAAAAGGGAAGGGACAGTGCCGGGCCCTGAGTTCAAGTACTGCCCCTTGTGAACTCCACCCTGGGTCTCTGCTTGGGCTGAGTTAGACTCATGGTCATTGGGCCTCCTGATTGAGGTGTTTTCTCCTGGTCCCAATGCCTTGTATCTATCTGCCATCTGCTCTGTCAAGTCCAACATCCACTAACTTACTCAACAGGTCAGGGGACTCCTCTCCACCCCCCTCACCCCACAACTCCCTGGGAAGACAAGTAAACTCAGGCTGGCCTGTGCTGGGGTGGAAGGCCTAGAGGGGAAGCCCTGGTTTGTAACTTGCTTCTCTGTGAGTGGACTCTGTCCTGAGTCCCAGCCGTGGGCCTCCCCACCCCCACGATGGTTGGGATTGGCGGACAGTGAGACCTCATGCCATTTTCTCTACAGTTTTTACCTCCCAGTGCCTGTGCTCTGGTCAGCAGGGGCAGGGATGCTGACAGTGGGCACACGGTCCACTGGGCTCCAGGAGAAAGCCAAGGGCACTGCCCGGCCTCCACGGAGAACACACAGGATTTCTGAAGGAGAGGGCGTGTTGTTTCTTAGGGCTTTGCAGAAAAATAGGAGAAGGGGAGAGGAAAGGGAGGAAGAGAGAGGGAAATGGAGAAGAAGAGAGAGATAGAGGGAAAGAGAGGGGAAGAGTGAGAGAGAGAGGTGGGGAAGGAGGAGAGAGAGAGGCAGAAAAGGGGAGAAGAGAGGAAGGAAGGGAAGGAGAGAGGGAGAGAGAGGAAGAAGGGAGAGGAGAGAGACCTTCCAGTGTGGCCTTGGGACTGTTCCTCAACTTCCCTGACTTTGCCCTCTGTCAAATGGCCCACAGATGTGCAAATGTAAGGAGACAGCGGCTGGGCACCAGCTCCAGTCCTCTGGATGGAAGCTTCTAGTCCCCATGTTCCATTCCGATGCCCCCCCCCCCTGCAGCCCCTGCAGAGGCTGAGTCTCCCCAAGCCCCAGTTCTGGGTGCTCGCTGTGGGTGACAGGGATACATGGGTGGCTAAGGGAGAGGCCTGGAGGATTTGCCTGTCTAGGGTTGATGGGCATGGACGGCTTCCTTCGCCTGGGTGATTGGGATTTAAGAAGCCTCCGGGTGGGTTGCTGACAGCTCAGCCTTGGCTGAGATCAGATCTCCGAGCTGCCTGTCAGTCACCCAGCCAGCTCGGAGCTGGTCTGCCAACCTGGCAGCTGTCCTGCCCGCCCTACCCTGGCTACCTACTGCTCACCACTTTGGAGGACCGGACTCCTGAGCATGAGTCCGTTCCTTGTGCCTTACTCAGTCTCCTGAGTAGCTAGAATTACAGGTGTGAGCCACTGGTACCCGGCTATGATTTTGTGTGAATGTGTGCTGGTTCTGAGGCTTGAACTCAGGCTCTGGGCTTTGTTCTTTAGTTTTTTTTTTCTTTCTTTTTTAAGGCTGGTGCTCTACCACTTGAACCACAGATCCACTTTCCAGCTCTTTACTGGTTCATGGGCGATAAGAGACTCATGGATTTTCTTGTCTGGGTTGGCTTTGAACTGCAATATTCAGATCTCAGTCCCCTGAGTAACTAGGATAATAGATGTGAGCCAATGATGTCATGGAACTTGTTTGTGTGTGCATGCACGTGCGTGTGTGTGTGTGTGTGTGTGGCAGGAAAGTCCAAGAAACTCTTACCTCTATTGAACCACCAAAACCCTAGCTGTGAGCCGGGCACTAGTGGCTTCATGCCTGTCATCATAGCCACTCAGGAGGCTGAGATCTGAGGATCAAGTTTCAAAGCCAGCCTAGGCAGGAAAGTCTGTGTGACTCTTATCTCCAATAAATCACACACACACACACACACACAAACACACACACACAAAGCTCTAAGTGACGCTGTGGCTCAAGTGCTTACTTAGTCTTGAGCATAAGCAGCTCAGGGACAGTGACCAGGCCCTGAGTTTCAAGCCCCAGGACTGGCACCAAAAGCCCAATAGTAAATCATGCTGGAGCCAGAGGTTGGGTGGGTGGTGTTTCATAGGGGGAGGGGCTGTTTGTGCGCGTCCCCTCCCCCTCCAAAAAAAGAACATCTCCAGACCTAAGCATCTGCCCTTCCCTGGACAGGTGTCAGGCCGTCAGAAGCAGCAGGCCGGGCGGCCTATTATGGTGGTGACCAGGCCGAAAGATAATGATGTGTGGTCCCGGAATGGGCTACTCCAGCCGCAGCATCAATTACGGAGCTGGCCTGTGGCTGTCAGAGCTGTCATCGCTGTAGCCTGTGATATTTTGAAAAGGCACACGAGTAAATCCGTCTTAGCGGATGCTTCTTTTGAAGTGTGTGCCTCCCTGCCCTGCCTCCCCCCTGCAGGCCTTTCTCTCCTGAGGGGTGGGGAGGCACTGCTCCAACCCCCCACCCCTTCCCCAGGGAGAGTAGTGGGGTTCCTCCCAGGCCATGCTGAAAAGCATGAGGATGGATGCCCGGATGGTGGTGTGCTGATGGCTAATGCTGTTTCCTGATGGCTGGTGTGTGTGTGTGTATGTGTGTGTGTGTGCTGATGGCTAATGCAGTCTCCTGATGGCTAGTGTGTGTGTGTGTGTGTGTGTGTGTGCTGATGGCTAATGCTATCTCCTGATGGCTGGTGTGTGTGTGTGTGTGTGTGTGTGTGTGTGTGTATGCGTCTTTGAGTCTCAGCCGCAGTCACTCCCCCATGGTCCAGGCTCCAACCCACTGTACCTCCCTGTCACCAGCATTGTCTTCATTACCAGGAGGACATTGAGTGAGGGAAAATTGTATTCAGGGCCCCCTACCTGCCACCTTCCACTCAACAGAACAGAGATGTCAAGGGAAGGCTAGAAATGGCTTTGGAACAATCTGGGGGTGGGGTGGGGGGGGATAAGCTGTTTGATGCCAAGAGTATGAATAGCCACAGATGACATTCAAAAGAAGGGCAGAGGCAGGCACTGGTGGCTCACACCTGTAATTCCAGCTACTCAGGAGGCCGAGGTCTACCGATTGTGATTTGAAGCCAGCCTGGGCAGGAAAATGGATGAGACTCTAATCTCCAATGAACCAGCAAAAAGGTAGATGTGGAGCTGTAGCTCATATGGTACAGTGCTATCCTTAAGGGAAAAGCTAAAGGACAGATCCCAGGTCCTGGATTCAAGCCCTAGGACCAAGGTTGGTAGGGTGGGGAGGTGAAGGGGACTGGAAAGAGCTACTGGGTTCCTGGAAGACATTGTCCCAAGTTCCTGAATATTCCTTTCAAGGCATATTGTGTGTATGTGTGTGTGTGTGTGTGTTCTCCTTAGTCTCCCGCACATAAGCAGATAGACAGCGAAAGTCTGAAAATTAGATCCAGCTAGCTTGGCAATAAATATGCTCACCATGTAATGGCTGTTTCGAGGGTGGCCAGGTCACTGTGAAAGGATTGTTAGACTTGTTCTGAGAGCTTTTTTTTTTCTTCCCCCTACTTCCTTTGAAATCTAGCCAGGGCGCTGTTCACAGGATGAAGTAACTCGATCACAGGCATGAAAGCAAGCCCCTCCCGGCTGCCTGCATTTCTCATCCCAGCCTTCCATCACTGAGCAGGTGTTTTGGGCCCCTCCTGGCAATAATAAAACGTGTTACTTCAGGAAATAAAAGCAGCCATGCTCCTGTGTCACAGGCCTTCTAGGCCCATGCAGTCCATATTA